TTTATCTAACATCTTACATGTTCATTGGTAATAATAATAATTATAATATTAATAATAATAGTAATAATAATAATGATATTATGCTCGAGGGGGGAAAAATCAATAATTTTTAATTAATTCTTTTTTAAAGATGTATTAAAAGAACGTTAAATTATTTACATGCTAAAAAAATCTCTACGCTTTAATTTTTTCATCTTGTTTTGATAGTAATCTATATACAAAACCACTGTGTAAAGTAAATACTTTAAGTAAACACAAGAAGTAAACTTGAAAACCTATTTTAATATTGCTGAACTGCATTATTCATTAATTTATTCACGAAATTTAATACATATTTTATGATGTTCTCAATTTATATTTGTTAATACGTATTATAAGTAATGGTGTATAAATAATCATATTATTATAAATATTCATCGTTTAACTGAATTCTACAGGCATGAATAACGACGTAATGTTTTTAATATATTTAATCATATTTTAAAAAAAAATTTTGAATGCAACATTTTTTTTCTTTTTTAACTGACTCATATCATTAAGTGGATTTGTTTATTTTCAAAGTAATTACATCCGTAACATGTGTTATGAAACGATGTGGCGTGTACTGCGCCGCGTATTACGGTGGTCTGCAACGTGTACTTCTGAAACTTCCGAATATCGGATGACCCAAAACGACGGTTAATCAATAGACTAATTAGTCAGGTTAGGAAGACGAAGGATGAAATTTAACGTTTGCAGGATAATGACAATCAGTGCGGTGCGGGTACGGTATCCGCAATGTCGATTTATTCCTATTAGTAATAAGGTCGGCTATTTTCCGTGGACACCAGCGAGTAGGATAAAGACGGGGAAATCGATAAGACCATTGTTATTGAATTATCCGATGGGAAAAAAAACGGTCGGACGGTGGGCGGTGGGGTTCAGCTGGCGTAGAATATTGTGGGACCCGTGGGGTCGCGCGAAGAAATAATATATACTTCGAGGACTTAACTAGGGCACATGTTTTCGAAGCTCACGCCGAACAAAATGCGATAACGTTGTTGTACCACAAATTGGGATGACTTCGGGTGGAATAATTTTTCCATCATCATCCGCATAATCTGTCAATTATAATACGAATAATAGATGTTTCGATTAAACCGAAAAACAACTACGTCGGCCTGTGATTCGCAACACGCCTCATAAACCATAATTGTATTGTATTTATCAGATTGTTAGACGAAACCTTTTAATCGTCGGACACACGCAACAGGGCCGCACGTGCTGAGGATAAAGTTGGCCCATCGCGCAGGATCACGTACGTGGGATCGGTTTCCGTATCGATCGTTTTGCTTTTCTCCCGTGCGAGTACGTTACTATTATTTAACGTTGGGATCACACTTCCCCTGTTCTTGTTACTTGACGCGCGGCTAAGTGCATCGCAACATTGTCGGGCGGGCAGAATGTACGCGGTCGTGTCGAGTGGAATGATTTGTCGGGATCGGCGAATCGTTTCGCGCAACTGTACGTCCGCGGCGTTTAGTCCGTTTAATAAAGATGACTGGATATCGAGAGAGCGGAGTAAATGCATAGTGGTTCGTGGTACGTGCACGAATCCAAAGGATATATAAAAAAAAAAAGAACCCACCGACTAAAAAAGGACAGTTGTTAACGAGCCCGAATACTTCTTTCGGTTTCTTATACATTGTTATACTGTGTGCGGACGAGATTTTGTTAACACAGTAGTGTATTTACGTATATTTTTTTAATTCATTAGCTATTTTACTCCGAGCGCAAAGCCGAAAGCACTCGTAATGGACATGTATATGTATAATAAAAAAACGTACGCGGTCAGAAGTATTTTTTTTTTAATCCCCTCCCTTCCGCCATACCGAACAATATAACAAAAATAATAAACGCGCGGTGGTGGCGACGGCATGACGACGTTCGTTGTACTTGTTGTACACAACAGACGGTTTTATTTACATAATTACTTGGCTTCGGTTTAAATTTTTGAACGTGTTCAACGGATCGCACAATACTCGTGAGGTTCTTTTAAAATACATTCTGGACGACTGCATTATTATTATTATTATTACGCTGGTCTAGAGGAAACGATGTACACCTGGGCACTGGTCGTTCGTCCGGTCCCGGTGAGGCCAGTACGTGCAGGGCCGTAGCGAGGGGATGGCAAGAAATGCCTACGCCCCAGACGGAATTCCTGGGAGTGCGCAAAAAAATAAAAATCTTACATATTGTGTTGGAAATTACAACGGTCGCATGTTTCGTTTACAAAACATTTAACACGTCGTTCATGTCAATCGAAGAAATCGATGAAAATAATGTTTAACAGACATGACGTTTAAAAATCGAAAACACATAAAAACGCATTTCGAAGTCGGTTGCTACGGCCAGTGCTGGAGGGGAGCAAATGGGTATGCTTGCCCCAAGCGCTGTTGGTATAAGGGCGCTCTTGAGTTGACGAAAAATAAAAATAAAAGTCATAGACATGATGTGAATTCCACCTACGTAAGGCCGCTGCGTTTTTACTAGCCCCAGGCATCAAATATACTAGACAAGCACGGGCTACGGATTGCGCGTGGGGTCGAACGGGACAAAAGAAATGCACGTCCGTCGAGTACACACCTATACGACTACCGAGAACGCAATCGTTACACCGGGAGAGGAGAACGAGCAGCAGCCGGTTACTAAACGACGTAGATTATTAAGATTCTCAACTCTCTCGCGCTAATGGGCTGCGTGATTATTGAAGGAAGCGCGCGATTATCACCCGGTCGCGTCCGGGGACCTATGTAGACGGTACGACGATGGCAAAAACATCCTGCGGAAACCAAAGGAGAAAACGGTGAAAAAGGGGGAATGAAAGGAAAAAATATCGCACCCGAAAGGCTAGCGATAGCACACGGATTCACTCGTGAACCAGAGCGTTTTCGATAAATCTGTAACGACATCAACGATAATAGCCGTCGCTACCGTTGTACCGTGTGTTCTCAATCATAGGCGTGCGAACAGGGAAGGAGTTGAGCACAAACGACAAGGTTGAAAGCACAAACTAGTACAAACGAAGCACAAACGAATGGCATAATTTTGGTTTTGAATTTCCAAAGTGAGGGTGGAGCCAGGGACATGGAGTCCTATCTTGCGCTATCCGGACGAAACACCCGATAAGAAAATCCGTGACATCGGTAAGCCGAACACGTACACAGTTACGTACGGCTCGTGTTACGATGTTATACCGATCGCTCTTGGCCGGATCCAATGAACGTTGCAGTAAAAATTTAATTGTATTAATGTATGTGCGTTATTATATTTTCCGTTTATCGAGAACAATAATAAATTCGTATTGCAGATCGCAGTGCTTGTTCCGTTATAAGGACAACAATAACAATAATGTATGGAACATGATGTGATTCCGTAACGCAGGAATCGAATTTTATTCAACAATTACAAAATATATTATCGTAAATCCGCAAATCCCGCCAAGGGGGGATCTAGGAATGAAAGACGAAAACGTTTTCTTTTAATACATAGGCGTTAAAAGTTTTGATTGTGAACGGTAATATTTATCGTACGCACATAAATTGTTTTAAAATAACAATAATAATTATAAAATTTAAAATGTACTTTCGTTGCGTAGGTACGTAACTAAACATTTATGCAGAAGTGCGTAACATTTACGTAGAATTCAAGTAGTTGAAATAATGCACATGGTAAAATAATAAATTAATTTTATCAATCCTCTGTCTTTATCTGCCTAAATGATCTTAAAAATATGTTTGTTGTTATCATTGTGTTCAAACCAACTGTTATATTTTATACATATATTCAATAAATTAAGGTCATGTAAAAATAATGAGGACTACCAACCTCTGCGAAATTCTATTAAGTAATGTAATATAAAATATTATAAAGCTTTAATAGTGTAGTTTATTATTCCGATAGTTAATTAACTGAAAATTAAGATAATATTTGAAATATTTTACTTAATTCAGCCCCCACATAGCCACTCTTATAATCCGCCTTCTAAAACCATTTGTTGAATTTTACTCGGTAAATTAACAAACTGTAGTAAAAAAGGAGTTTATAAGCGCCTGCAATTCAATGATTTAAAAAAATACAATCACTTCTACAGTTCATTGATCGTGAAAGTACAATACATCGAGTAAAAAAAATAAAATATATTTTGTAATAACCTATCCTTCAAGTATTCAACGTAAAAGCTATGGGAAAAGTTAAATATATTGACAAACATCGAGCATATGAACTACCTGTATAGTCACGGTATAGCAAAATAAAACACTTTTCATAAATAACTGAAATGTGAATAATAATAATAATGGAAATAATATAAAATGAATGTTCGTGGTATAACGAACAAAATCTAGTTTAATTAATTATTTTGTTCGGTCGATAAAATATTTACTGTTTGAGATATTATTTTAAGAACAAAACTTCGATAAAATATGCAGGCAATCATCTGAAATGTACGATTTTTTAATTTATTGATAATTATCATTGTTTTAACCAAATTCTAATTTATTTTTAATACGCGGACGATGCGTCTTTATGTATGTTATAGTAAATGATGTTAAACATCAAAATAACGTTATTTTTTAGTAAATAACAATAATTATTTAATTAACTAGAGATTATCGTGGTTTATTATTTTTTTAGTTTGATTATCGATAATTTCTACATACGATGGAAAATGTTGTTATATAATGTTATCTTAATGGTATTAGTTACTAGATAGTATTACAGCTATAGTAGATAGAACTTCGGACTAAGATTTTCTCCAATATATAAATGAAGCATTAATAAGCTTGGTGGGGCTTACTAGTTTATTTAACTATAATAAATATTATAGATAATATTTTTGTCAGTCCTTCACGGTATGCGTAGAATCGACATTGCCGTTATATCGTCATACTATTTTGTATGTTAAAATATTCGTACAACATTGTGTTCATTTTCTTTAAATTGTATTGACAATTATTAATAAAATTCAATATGGATGAACATGAAATTAAAAACAAATTTAACAACATTATTTCTGATATATTTAAAAAAAAACGTAGTGATAATAACTCCTTTCTAACCGTTGTTGAGTGCAATATTCTTATTGAACAATTAAAATATTCATAATTTGTGTTGAAAACACTAAGAGAAAAAGAGTCTATGAAAGATTATCAAACGGTACGTAAATATGATATTTTAACATTAAATAATAAAGAGCGTCTTATTAAACCTGCAAATAAAGATACTATACTCTATTACGTTACAATTGACGAGTTGATCAATATTTTGCATTCGACTTATTCTACTATTGGCCATGGCGGAAGATATAGAATGGATTCTAAATAAAATCAAAATATTGCAATATCACGAACGAAACTATTATGGCATATTTAAATCTATGCACACATTGCCAAAAAAAAAAAAGTCATCAAATATTAAAAGAGGCTTAGTTTCAAAAACTATTTTACATTTCACTTTCAATTCAAGAGCTCAAATTGATTTAATTGATATGCAATCACAAAATATTAATGGATTCCGCTTCATTTTAAATTATCAAGACCATCTTACGAAATTCGTGTTATTTAGAGATTTATCGAGTAAACGTGCAGAAGAGATCACGCACAATTTGTTGGATATTTATACAACTTTCGGGGCACCGGCCGTTCTACATTCAGATAATGGCCGAGAACTTGTTAATTCATTAATTATTGAGCATCAATCCATTTGGCTAGATGCAAAAATAGTGCATGGCAAACCTAGATACAGCCAGATCCAAGGGTCTGTGGAGAGAGCTAATCACGACGTTGAAGACATGCTAACATGGATGGCACAAAATAAAAGCAAAGATTGGCCTTCGACTTTACAATTTATACAATTTCAAAAAAACCGTGCATTACATTCAGGTATGAATATCATTTTGTATTATATATTAAATATTTATATTGTTAAATAATGTTTTTTTATCAAATTCAATATTAAAGGCATTGGAAGGTCTCCTTAAGAAGCAATGTTTGGGTGCAAAGCAAGAGTTGGATTAGCATCAGTTGGCATTCCAGTAAACAACATTTTTAATTTAAGTATGGAAGAAGATATTAAAAAAAATAATGCTAATAAGAACAGTGAAAACAATAAAATCAGAGACGAGAAATGTCTTGGTTTGTTAATTTTTTTAAAATTATAAATTTAATTTAATTTTAAAATTTATTTTTTGGACATTACTTAATACAAAAAAAAAAAAATTAAAATGGGACAGTTCGATTTTGATTTTAAAAAAAATTCAAAAAAATGTAAAATAAAACTCTTTATTGCTCATTTGAAAAAAAAAAAAAAACACGAGTAATAAATAATAATTATAAATTGTACTTCACCCGACCTCTGCATTTCGGCCATTTTATAATTATTTTAAATATTTTGTTTTATTTTAGTCAACAAACATCAAAAAATTATACAAATTAATGAAATAATTCAATTCAATGTTTAAAAAAGCAAGCCGAAAGGATGACGACACAATTAAACAAAAAATATCAAGAGTTGGAAGTATGGACACCATTTCGTATTTCCATACCTGACGTTGACAGAGCCCGTGGATCTCCACGCAATTTATTAGCAGTTATTGCTAATGTTGACAACGGCTTTTATAAATTATGTAAGTAAAATAAAATAAAAAATTGAAATTTATAGATATTTATGTATTTATATTTAAATCAGGTACCGAAAATGGTTTTCTTAAATACAAGTATACGAGATCTCAACTTGTGCTATGCAAAGAAATTTTGCTTGACCTTAAAACCTTGATTAGTTGAATCATCTAAAGAAAAAAAGATAATTTCAAGAAGCAGCAGGATGTAGTAGTCTTATGGGCACACAAGGCTATCAATGATGTCACTGTAAAATGAAGTTCAAAACAAATAAATGCACATATCGATTAGTTGGAAAATTATGCAATTTAAAATGTCACAGTTCATTGTCATGTGAAAATAAATAATAATATAATAATTTAAATACAAATAACATGATTCCAAAGAATATTAATTCTTTGGAATTAACGTAAATTCTTAGTTATTAACGTTATAAATTTTGTAAAATATTAATTATTATCTATTAACGTTAATTGCTAATTAATAAAGTAAATATAAATTTAACATCTTTTACTTTAACATATACATATGAGTTGCGGTACTCGTAAAGTGATATATTTATACACATAATGTATATATTACATGCAGCAGCTGCTGTGTACCAGGCATTCATTAATAACGCGTTGTTAAATACTAATTTCCGATTGAAATCGGTGTGTGCATGTAGAGCATGTTCGCGTGATAGAATCTTCTTTTATATCGCGACGGTTTATTAACATTTTCGCATCTCTCATTGCTTATTTTTTATTTTTTCATCCGACAATATAAAGCGATGTAGTTTTTCTCCTTCTCAGTCCGCCATTTATTATCCGATGTAAAATAAAAATAATATTTTTTGTCTAAATAAAATTTTGACGTAGTTGAAAATCTGAGAACAAAATGTAATACTGTGTTTTAATGAAATTCTATGTATATATATTTTGTTAAATTACATCAAATGATTCAACAAACGTTTGTTTCAATGACAATCTATTCATTATTATATTCGGTTTTTATTTGCTAATTGTTGGATAAATTATTTTAATAAAACGTTGCAATACGAAAAAAAAAACTAAAAATTTGAATATAACAACTATGAATATAAAAAAGAATATACCGAGCACGTACATACGGTTTTAATAATACATTGTTTTGCACAACCACAAGCTTGTGGAACTATTGACTGGTAACTTGATTCGTGTTGAGAACCCCTTTATATTATAGCATACGAACCGCATTCGGTATTAATTATTTTCCGCAAATCAAATGCACTAAACTTGTGTTTTTATTATATTTATACTACCTATATATATATATATTTTATTACCTCGAAGGTTTCAACGAAAAAATTTAATAAACGGTTTAATAACTCGGACCAATTATTTATTAATTTTCATGATTGTTCTATCATATAATAATTATAAAAATATTAGCTGGACCATGGATTATTGATTTGCTGGTGTTCGAAATGTGTTATATCACGATTATTTTTAATCCTCTCTTTTTTCTAACACGAGCATTTTGTAGCATAATATAATATAACAGAAGTGAACAAAATCACGACGCATTAAATCCGTATCGCATTGCAGCAGGCTCTTCGAATACGTAATAGATTCGTTAAGTTTTGAATTAGGCATACCGAGTCATGTATGAGTTAATTACTTATTTTTTTCAAAAATTGTTCGTCGTGTCTTATCGACCAGAATTTGAAGAATGACGTTGTCATGCATGTTAACGTAGCTCTAGCGCTTTTCAACGAATGCCGGTTGCATATTCCTGGCATTTTCATAACATTCTTATCGTACGCATGATATATAAAGACATGTTACAGTCACATTTCTTCCGTTTCCTCATAAACGTGCAAAGTCGTTTGAACCTAACCGCTAATCTGATCGTAGTTCGCGTAGCGATCGTACACTTTAATAAACTACTCGTACTACAATAGTACATAATGATTATATAATATATTACACGGAGTATATGAGTGTTGCGAGGAAAATTTTAGCGAGATCTGGATGTATCCCGTTCGAGTTAAAAATCTAATCTCATCAGTGTAATGTATGCGATATTATACATAAAACGAAACGACTAGCTCTGAAAAACTATTCAAAACGGTCAAATGTTAAACAAACGTAAAGTGAACTGCAAACGCGAAATAGTATAAAAAAGTTGCTGAGATATGCATTGTTATTTTTATAAAGGAATATGATCTGATGTTCTCCGAATAAAAAAAAAAAAACGAGTAGTTTAGAAACAAAAATAAATTTATGGAATTAGTCGATAAAACGTTTTTTCAAACACCTATAGTGATATTTCCGCCTTTTCTTTATCAGACCTATTAATTCCTAAGAATCCAGTACCTACGTTTACTTTATCCGTATGCTAGTGTACGCATAAACGTACACTTTTTGTCGTCAGACATTCGTTTCGAGTAAATGTACAGACAGGAACGGCATATTTCATTTAACCTGAATAATGGAAGTTTATCTTTTTATGTGTCCTACATTTTCTAAACGTCTTCGGTTCTTTTTATCTAAAGGACGTGTCGTTTACTCCCCCGTGCTCGTAAAAACTTTAAACGGCGCTCCGTGCGGGGATTATCTTAAAGGCGTTTTTAAGGACGAACAGATGTCGATGCGCGACGTTAAATAAATTATTTTTTTTATTTACCGAGTGGTGCCGGAGAGCATGTTCCTCTGGACAAAAAATGCGTTGGTGCGCGACTAAACCATGCCGGACATTCGACAAACTGCGTTGTATGCACGCGTGTCCTGTGTTTCTAGTCGTCCAATTTCGCGGAGTTCGATTTCCCGCGGACGTCAGCGTAACGGTTTCGGATGATAATCGTGGATGAATTTGCGTTACAACGTTGCCCAGTCGGTCGGGAACGAGCCTAAAAGCTGTACAACTTCTCGACCGTTTATAGTGGTAATAATACTGCAGAGATGCCAAAGGCCTTGTTGTAATGATTTCAACACCTCGGCGAAAAGCAAAACAAGAGACACGGTGCGCACTACAAGCCAGCCGACGGTTTGAAGCGTTGGAATGCTCGGTCGCCCGAGTGTTCCTGTTTAGCGTTTCTCTGACCATCTAGTAGGTTTGAGATGTTTAATTTTAAATGTCGGTACAAGCGACACCGAAGAACATTGTGTTAACTGAGTGACGAACAAGTCACCCAACTAGGTTCTTAATTTAATCGCTCGTCATATTTTACGACGTCGGACAAAACACGATCGCATACGTTCGTTATCGACGATAATTTTTTAAGCTACACGATTCCGTATGATTTTACCTGATTTTTAACTACACTATTGCATAGAAAATTTTAAACGTTGATGCCAATTTTCATACTAGTATTGGTGTATACCACAGGCCTATACAAGATAACTTAAAAAAGTTAATAAATACTTTGTGTTTTATCGCTTTTATTAGCTATGTTTATTGTTAATGAAATCAAATATATTAGATATAACAAAATATTTATTTCCGTTATATTATATGGTATTTTCCAAGTTTTAGTAAAAGTAGTAGGTCGTAGATGTCAGGGAATCCAAATTTAAGCATTTTCAAATAATTTATTAACTATAATTTCATTCAAATAAAAACTTTCGATTTTATTTATTTATTAATTACTTTTTTTTTTTATTTAGTTTTCCTCATTTTATTTATTATTTTATTATTAATTTTTTTTTATGTACTATTATAGTATATGTATATGTGTATATGTATATACTACTATATGTATTCTATATTTATTAGATATAATACGGTAAAATTAGTAAATTTGACAACGTTGCATACAATTTCATACGCAATCGTATTTATTTATTTTTCTCACCCACCTTTTTGTTAACCATCCACAAACGTATGCAATCATGTTCTACCCACGATAAATGCCTCTCGGACCAGGAGGGGTTGGCAAAACGGAGGTAAACTCCTCACTTAAGAGGAAATGAAAAGAAAATCTCTTCCCAACGTCATCAACAAGTCCTCAATTAAAAAATGAAAACCGATATGTTCCGCTATCAAACTTATTGGATAACGAAAAAGTAAATTATATCACACTGGCCGATATTGGCAACACACATTTCGAGGTAAGGAAAATACCACCTATATCACCTATATTTGTCCACAATATTACGAAATACGAGTAGTTTCACTTATCACTAGCAACTGTAGTCCAAGATAATTTTACAATAGACTAAAAAAAAAGATTCACTAAAATTAAAATTAACAAATATAGACGACTAAAGAGCTGTCACAAAAGAGTTCGAGATAATGCAAATCCAATACCACACTTATCAATTTCCCGAGGACAAAAATATATTTGTCGTAATTTGCAATCTACCAGTTTCAATATCAGAAAAAACTATTTTTTCTGTTTTGCGGGAGTTAAAATACGAAGTGATTTCGGTCACTCGCCTACAAAACTATCTTTATGTCCCTATACCAATAGTGGCTGTCCTTCTCCTTCAGTCATTAAAACATATATACTCCATAGATAGATTGCTGCACTGCATTGTCTTAGTTGAGCAACGTAAGCCTTCTTCAGATATCCCTCAGTATACAAATTGCCATTGTTATTCACACACAAAAAATGTTTGTCATTTATCACCGAGGTGTGTTAAATGTGCAGAAAATCATCATTATAGTACGTGCACGAAAACAAAGGAAACTGCAGTTAAATGCGTAAACTGCAAGGATAACCACCCATCTAGTAATAAAGGGTGCAGTTACTATAAAGAACTTTGGAAAAATATATCAAAAAATAAAAAAAAAAACCCATTCAAAATAAATTACACAAAACACGTAAATAACAATATTAATCATAACAAAAATGGTACAACCGAGGTAAACATTAATAATAATACGACAAGTAATGCTACCATAAATAAATCGTACATCTCAGTAACAAATACGAAATTGAAATCAAATGAAACAAGTACCCAAAATATAGATAATAACTTTCTTAAATCACTAATGCCATTAATTAACTCTATTATAATACAGTTAATGAAGCAAATCATCGATAACCTTTCATCAATACTAAATAATTCAAGTATAAATTGCAATGAACTCCTATCATCTAATCATTATGAATTGGAACGCGAACGGTTTTAAAAAAACAAAGAAACTCATTTGATACTTTTCTTAGCCATCATACTGTAGATATCGCATGTGTCACAGAAAC